AAGAATTTTTTTTGGGAACAGTCTTCTTATTTTATCGCAAAAATATTGAACCTTCCCCACTGTACATGCATTCCATAGAGAGCCCAAATGCAAGATCAGAAGCTTTTATCTTGAAAAGCTCTCTTTTCGAAATTGCACGTGCGAGCGCCGTTCACATGTGAGCTTTTCTCTCCGCAAGCATAGCTTACGGCTAGCCCTTCGAGAACCTTCTTAGCTCTCTCATACCCAGCTTTTGGAGGGGTAAAATAGTTAGGCTAAGTGCATGCTGCACAGAACAAAAGTGCATTCAAAGTTGGAAGACTTAATTAATGTGCGTACAGAACATATAAAAAGAAAACGTGGTGAAAATTCTGCAAAACCATAAAAGGGAACATAAACCCAATAAAAACCATTTGAAAAGTGTTGTGGCTGCAAAGAACAAAAACTACAAACCAAACCCTGGATAAGGTACGCAAAGAAAATGAAAAAGTGACCTTATTACATAATTTCACGTATGTACTGTACATAGGTTATGATCCACGTGTGGCAGAAAATTGCTGACCTGGCCTGACCACCCCTCAAGGAGGGGGGGTCCGCTTCATGACGATCATCAGTCCTTCTTCTTGGTGCCACCGGACCTTGCCTGCAGGCATAGAAACGGATGGACTTGGCGATCGGAACCGAGCCGTTTATACTCACGCGCAATTAAGCCGCTCAACAACAACGACAATATAAAACCATCTAAAATATTATATCACCGCGCCTTGTGTAAAGAAAATGTTGGTGCTTGCACATGTAGGGTGTGGAAAAATTAGCTCAGCGGTCATTGCCCTTGCGGCTGACCATACACCTATGCGCATTTAACTAGACCCACCTGACCGTATGTCACCTATTCTCCTTCTCTCAGGTTATTAAAATTGTTCGATGCCGACATTCTAAAAGCCACTTAAGGGAAGAAAAATAAATCACAAAATCTAGAAAAGAAAATTTAATGAAAAGTTATGGATCGAAGAAAAAAATAGAAAAGAAAATTGTTTAATAATATTAGATATTCCTAGACGTTAACTTAGAAATAGAAAAAAAAAATGAAATTTATGCCTAGTTAGGAATAGATTTTAAAAGGTGCATCATCGGTCTCATTGTGTCCATGGAAGGGTATTGGTAAAATACCTCTTCATAACGCTTCTTGTTATTTTGCATATTCCTACATTTCTTTAACAGTTTTTATTGCAAACGTGAAATTGGGCCCAACGACACCAGCAGCTGTTTAAAAGTCTGTAAGTAGACACACATATATACACATACACTTCGGGTAGGGAGGCAAGGGAGGCAACCATATATAAAATGAATTATTATTAACTACAATCACTACAATTATGCCATTTAATTCCTTTAATTAATTCATTCTTACTTTATATTTTGATTATATTATTTTTATTCATATTTGATCATTCTCTTGAATTCCTATGTCTTAAATTAGTCCCACATATATATACCCATGCAGTAAAAATAGTTTTAAGGGTTAGGGTAGAAATAATGGGGGTTACAAACAACATGAAGTCATACAAGTCAAAGTAAAATTATAACGATTAACATGAATTTCTAATCTGATTTTTGGGAGGGGTTCCTAAGGCACATAGCGCAGCAGCAGAAGGTTTTGGGGTAGAACCATAATGGCATATTCTTATGTTATTCTACATGGAGGGTGGGTCAAGAGGGGAAGAGCACAACCACCTTGCTCTTCACAGTAGGAGTGGACCTTAAGTTCCGTCCGGGTTTGTAATTCCGATCCCAGTTCCCGTAAATCTGTCTACGATTTTGTTAGGTGACGGAGTTCGTTTTTGCAGCACAACACCCACCCCATTTTCCCTGAGCCTAGCCGGCCAACCTTTAGTAGACAGAGAGTGCTGACGAGACGACACTTCCCGTGTCCGTTACAGTGTATTGATGGCGGTGATGGCCGACACAAAATATATCTATATAAATTGTAATATTATATATTTAAATGTATTAAGTTTATTCAAGCATTTATTTATGTACAGCAAGTGTGTCTATGAGCATATGTACGTGTGTGTGTGTGTTCGAAACCATAACCGTTTATTTTTTATTTCAATAACCATTTGCTTAATATTTAAGAGGACTCGCATTTACCTTTACCCGTTCGTAGTGTGAAGAACACAACTTTTGTATCGGGTAAGCTGTGTAAGCTACGGATAGCGGATAGCGGGTATATGCGGGTAAGCTGTGTATCGGGAAGCATTTAGCGTGTGGTAAGCGGTTCAGCGTGGGCTCGTTTGCGCGCATGCCGCGTGGCATTGCTTAAAACCAAAGCAAGAGTTAGAATTGTACTCTCAAATCATCGAACAACGAAACGGCTAAGAACACCCCCGGTTAACACCCCTGCCCCCGGAATCGCCGGCCGAGACAAAGGCGAAGGGGAGTCCGCACAGGAACACAACGAGTGGGGCGTACCGCATGATGAACTGATAAAAAGGAACTCTGTGTCGGATTGCTGCTGGAAGCCCGACTCCACCGAAACTGATGCTCTATTCCGGCCCAGAACAGCGCTTATATAGCAATTTACTATGGCCCAAAATCCAACCGAGTCAAGCTGCTGCACCCGGAACCTGGTTCAGCATAAGCATCTGAAGCTTCTGGCTCAGCACAAAGCCATAGATGGTGCAGCTGCACCTGCAATCACTGCCAAGGTGCAGCACACGGGGGCAAACCTGGCCATTTGTAAACTGTTGAGCCACTGCCTCTTCATTAATTATGTGCCACAAACGCCCTCGGCCTGGAACTTGTAGCTCTCCGTAGCTCTGTCACTTATCACATAATATTTGCATAGCTCTTGATACCCTCTAGAAGGGGGTAATGGTGGTGTGGAGGTGCGAATGTACTTACTACAAACTACATTATTCTAGTTTTAAATGATTTAAATCCGCAATGCTAGCATTCGCTTTTCTTTCTTCCCGCGTACATTTGGTCAGCAGTCAGTGCTGTGAACTTTTTAGAGGAAAGGAAGTTGTTCTGTGGTCCAACATGGAAAAAAAGCTTTTAAAATTGGAGCTTTAAGTCGAACTTTAAAACTAGCTAGAACTAGCTATAAAATAGCTGTGTTTGATCGATGAGCGTTTTCCTCAATATAGTTGTTCAAGGATGGGGGCTTTCAATCCGAATGGCCCCTTCTTAGGGCAATTCTTCTAGGGCATGGGATTAGCCGATGTCAAATACAAATTACTATTATAAAATTAAAATTATAAAATTTATTTACGAACTAAAACATTAATAATACCCAACTACATATTTGAAAATAAAAGAATATAAATATAGGTAAATATAAATAAACGTAAATAAAACAATTGAGATAAAAGTGCAAATAAATATAAATAAAACGAGAAGGAAGTGTGAGTCGCTTCTGGGGACGCGACTCTACTTATACCCGTACTCAGTCAGATATACATTATTGAGTTATGATTTTAAAGAATTTTAGAAAAAAAAAAAATTTTACATTTTACATTTTTTTTGCTACATATGATATCTACATCTACATATACAATGTATATTCTACATCTAACATATTCTATTCTATTCTCCTCCGTTAGGGTTGCTCGCGCACTGAACGCGGCAGAGTGTGCGAGCGAGAAGGAAATGAGTTGTGTTGTCATGATCGGGAGGGGGAGGGGAAGCAACTGAAAATTTCTTCATTCTGGCTATAATTATGATCCGATCTGATTCAGATTCGGCAATCTAGTAGATATGGGCATTCTCTACGATACTGCGTTTTTAGTTTTATCGTATCTTTAAAACTGTGCCTGCCACAGATTTTCGTCCTTTGTGTGGGCGGAAGGGGGCGGGGCGAAATTTTGAAATACACTTGTAGCAGTGTGATATCACAAGAGTTTCCAGACTACCAAATTTGGTTGCCCTAGCTTTTATAGTCTCTGAGATCTAGGCGCTCATCAAGACGGACAGACAGACAGACAGACGGACAGACAGACATGGCTCTATCGACTCGGCTATTGATGCTGATCAGGAATATATATACTTTATGGGGTCGGAAACGTTTCCTTCTCTGCGTTACACACATCCACTTTTACCACGAATCTAATATACCCCTTAACTCTTTTTTAAGTACGGGTATAAAAAAAGCAAAATAGCACAAGAAGAAAATACCAGAAGACCGCCAAGAAGTCGCCAAGAAATGAAATGCAATCCAATAAACCAAAAAAATAAAATAAAAGCCTCCACTGGAACAAGCAAAAAGCAGTTTAATTTTCAGAGGTTTTCCTCCGCTCATCAGATCAGAGCAGAGCAGAGCGGGGAGTGTTCTGAATATATGTATTAAAGGTATTATAGGTAGATAATTGTACACTCTCTATGAGCTGTTTTAGAGCTTTTCTGTGCTGCTTTCTGAGGCATATGCGTGAAATACAGTGAATGGATTACCTTCAGGCGTATCTATTAGAAGTTGCTGAGACTTCGAAGTCAGAAGTGTGGCGTTCTGCTGCATTCAATTTGAAAGAAAATACAAAAAATTCTACCAAAACATAAACCGACAAAATTCAATAGAGTTCGCATGTGTTTTACTTGCTTGGAAAAGTATTTCATCTAGTTAGCATTTACTTTTCTGTTCGTATCGTTTGATTTGAGGCTGGGCAATATTTCATTCTAGCACTGACTTTGGAGCTGTACGTTGTTTTTATATTTTTGTATTTTTAGTATTAGCGTAAAACAAAATTTCTATCGTTTTACAAATTTTAAGTATCTAAAAGTATCTAATTGTTTCAACAAAATTTCCATCCACGTTCGGACGAAGTCACGCAACTGGGGACAGCTCCGACCATGGCAGCAGCCAGATCTGCTGCGGCTGCGCCCTATCCGGCACCTGCTTCACATCCACCCGCTGGCCAGCCAAAGAGGAATATTCTTCCCTCGCGTCGCAGGACTCAGCCGTGGTCAGGCCCCCCCTCAAAAAGTGCAGAAATTGACGCCACTGGCTTGGCCAGTACCCAACAAGAAGGCGTCGCCTCATCCTCAGGAATCGCCGAATCCGGCGGACTACACTGATGGACATGATGGTGATGATGAAATGATGGTGGACTCCAGCGATAACTGGAGCAGCTGGACGACTTCATGCGATAGCTTCACCTCTATGCAGCCCTACAGCGATAACTGGAGCAGCTGCAGCTGGAGCAGTACCCTACTGCAGCCCTCTATCGGCCGCTACTCGAACGCCAACGAGCTGTCAACGATGTTGTCCTGCTTGAGTTCCTATGTACCGCAACGCCGTCGATGGGGTCCTGCTTGAGCCTCAATCGCACCGCAACGCCGTCGATGAAGTCCTGCCTAGTCCCCCTAGCCTCTCGGCCCAGTCGACGCACTCGATGGTGACATGCCTGACCTCCGATGGCCACCCAACAGAAACGAAAATGCCCGAAAACGGAATTCCCGACAATGGATGGACTTCGCCGATGGTTGCAGCCATATCCTCGCTGCCCATTCCCCCACAGGTGTCATGCGGCACGCAGACAGAGGAACCGCCATCGACAAGTGCCCGTGGGCCTCGGTTCAAGGTAAGAAGTGGACGACACGTTTGGCCGGGGGACGGGCAAAGTCTTCCAGAAAGGTCAGAGCGGCACTGAATGAATGGACGCCGATGGTGGAAAAGCTACTGTTGGCAGCCATATCCTCGCTGCCCATTCCCCACAGGTGCCATGCGGCACCCAGGAAGAGGAACCGCCACCGAAGGTCAGAGCGGCACCGCGAGTGGACGAATCAGAGTGGGGCATGCTCAAGAAAATCCTGGTGGCAACAGTGCAGGTATTCCTGTTCGTCGGGATGAGCATTGCCCTGTGCATTCCGGATGCGGATTGCCCCTCGTTACGTGGCCAAGATCTATAAATTTTATGTGTTGTGAAGGTTGCAGACCAAAAATACAAAATTTAGAATGTCTGGACAAAAATTGTATTAAGAATTTTTTTTGGGAACAGTCTTCTAATTTTATCGCAAAAATATTGAACCTTCCCCACTGTACATGCATTCCATAGAGAGCCCAAATGCAAGATTAGGAAGCTTTTATCTTGAAAAGCTTCTTTCGAAATTGCACGTGCGAGCGCCGTTCACATGTGAGCTTTTCTCTCGCAAGCATAGCTTACGGCTAGCCCTTCGAGAACCTTCTTAGCTCTCTCATACCCAGCTTTTGGAGGGGTAAAATAGTTAGGCTAAGTGCATGCTGCACAGAACAAAAGTGCATTCAAAGTTGGAAGACTTAATTAATGTGCGTACAGAACATATAAAAGAGAAAATGTGGTGAAAATTCTGCAAAACCATAAAAGGGAACATAAACCCAATAAAAACCATTTGAAAAGTGTTGTGGCTGCAAAGAACAAAAACTACAAACCAAACCCTGGATAAGGTACGCAAAGAAAATGAAAAAAGCGACCTTATTACATAATTTCACGTTCCTGGACAAGGAACTACCGAAGAAAACCGCCGAGAAAACCATCGTCATATGGGATAATCGACCCACCAAGCAGACACCAACTAAAAAGCACCAAGACAAGCAGAAAGGCCATGATCACAGCAGCACAGTAGAAAATATAACGTTACCGACGCCACGCTAAAGTGACGAGATTAACACCGACGAATCCAAAGACTCGGCAAAAGCATAAGGACAGGATAACCCGGTAAAAAGGCGATCCTCAGCACCCGCCAAGCGACGCCACTAATCTCTCCATCACCCACCCGGCAGAAAAGGGGGGTAACGAACCATGGTTCTAGCCATGGCTCGTCACAAACGGCGAAGGGTCAGCGCATCCACGCTGGCGGGAGATAATAACCAAACTGATATACACCGAGCTAGCGAACCATGGCTCTAGCCACGGTTCTCCACAAATAGCGGTGTGTCAGCACCTCGGAAATAAAATGGTCTTAAGCACACAATTAATTAAGAACTCTCGATCAACAACACCCCACCTCTTGAGACAATTGTGAAATCAGCAGCCTACAATAAGCCAAGCCGACACAATTTCGCAATGAGAGATATCACTGGCGTTATTTCACAATAGGTCAAGCTAGCATAAAATTATCGACCTACCGACCCAAATTCAGATATCACCTTACCCAACTGCAGCCCGCACCTTCCGGGATGCAGCTCAGCAAAACCACCCTGACCCACTAACAATTGTCAATGAAGCACAAAGCTTCGACCCACTTACCGCGCTCCACAATTATTGTTATCCAATAACCTTAAGTCAGCAAGAATTAATTATTTCCGGGTCTCAGGTGCTATCGCCAGCTGCATAAAAGTGCCAAGATCGGCTGAAAGAGGTAGGCAGTCCATCAGCCCAATAGCAAGACACTGTGCCACGAAGTCCCTCAGTCACACACCCAAGACACTGTACTACACAGTCCTCAGTCACACACCCAAGACACTGCACAAGGCAAGTCCCCTCAGTCACACACCCAAGACACTGTACTACGCAGTCCATCAGCCCAAACACAAGACACTGCACAAGGCAGTCCCTCAGTCACACACCCAAGGCACTGTACTACGCAGTCCCTCAGTCCACACCCCAAGACACTGCACTAGGCATCAGCCCAAAACACAAGACACTGTACCCCCAGTCCAATGGCTCCAAGGGCAAAGGAACAAGACCCCAAGTAATCCATCGTATACAAACCCACAAAGAATTAAGTAATAAAAATAATAAACACCAGCAAAACCAAAAACCACGATCTTCTTGAAGATATTTTTGTCAGCAACAAAACGCTCCTCCTGTGTCCTACCTCTCTTTCGGTCAGACAAGGCCGCTCCGAACCTGAAAGTCACCTGCGATCTACAAATTGTCTTGTAGAGGACCCTAACAGGCTGATGCTTACCTCAGCCTGAAATAGGACCTCACAATCTTATTATTATTTATTATTTACACAATTATTCATTTTATTTATTTTTGAAATATTCAAAATATTGTTTCGCTCTCACACGGCCCTCTTCCTTCTTGTTGATTCGTTTTTCAACGGAATTAATGGTGTTCCATGTGCTACATGGATTACATTGTAAATTTTATTTATATTGATTGTAAATTATAACTAATGAACACAAAATTTAATTTGGAGATAAGTCAGCCCCGGTGACTGTGTTGGTTTGGGTTTCACCATCGCAGTTCTCCTGCTCAGCCTGGGAGCGAGGCTTACACGATTAGGGGTCCTTCAGTTTGTCCGTTACTGGTTCCGCCAGTTTGTCCGTTACTGGTTCCTTCAATTGGTCCGTCAATGGTGCGTGGGCTGAACGAGTGCGCACCTTTCCCGTCCCTAGCTTTTTTCCCGAGCGGAGTGGCATGCCCGGGATGAGGGGCTCATCGACGCTGCTGCGAAGATCAGTATATTCGACCTGTACGGCGCGAGGCGGCTGCTCGCTTGAAGGGCTGCTTATGGGCAGCTTGGTGACAAGGCCGTCAATGGTGCGTGCCTCATCATTGTAAGCAAATTAGTGGGCTAGGGAATCGGAAATGGACTACACCTCTGCCTACTGTAACAAATGCATTCCAACTCACTATTCTCAGGCGCGGTGTTGGGCATGGGAGAGGGAGAACGCTGTATATTCCGGCTCAGGCTCGTCGGCTAGGAGGGTGGTGGTCCTGTCCCACTCCCATGATTGGCCTTTCTTCACTATAATATTCTAAAATAAGTTGCCTGCTAGGAACAAGCGAAAACCGGAATAGAGATCCCACTTACTTCCGACCAACAAACATACTAAAGGGAATGGAACTATTCCGCTGCACCTGCTGGTTCTCCTACTCAACCTCAGGTGTTGATGAGGCGTAACATGCCCACCCTACCGTTGGCCATTCTGCCCCCTGGCCCACATCCGAATGGCCCCTTCTTAGGGCAATTCTTCTAGGGCATGGGATTAGCCAATGTCAAATACAAATTACTATTATAAAATTAAAATTATAAAATTTATTTACGAACTAAAACATTAATAATACCCAACTACATATTTGAAAATAAAAGAATATAAATATAGGTAAATATAAATAAACGTAAATAAAACAATTGAGATAAAAGTGCAAATAAATATAAATAAAACAAGAAGGAACATGTGAGTCGCTTCTGGGGACGCGACTCTACTTATACCCGTACTCAGTCAGTATATACATTATTGAGCTTATGATTTTAAAGAATTTTAGAAAAAAAAAATTTTACATTTTACATTTTTTTGCTACATATGATATCTACATCTACATATACATATGTATATTAAACCTAGACAAGGAAATTGTAAAAGTTCCATTCATATTCTATATTCTATTCTATTCTCCTCTGGAGTTGCTCGCGCACCCTGAACGCGGCAGAGTGTGCGAGCGAGAAGGAAAATGAGTTGTGTTGTCATGATCGGGAGGGGGAGGGGAAGCAACTGAAAATTTCTTCATTCTGGCTATATTATGATCCGATCTGATTCAGATTAGCAATCTAGTAATATGGGCATTCTCTACGATACTGCTTTTAGTAAAAAACTGTGCCTGCCACAGATTTTCGTCTTTTGTGTGGGCGGAAGGGGGCGGGGCAAAATTTTAAAATACACTTGTAGCAGTGTGATATCACATGAGTCTGGAAACCAAATTTGGTTGCCCTAGCTCTTATAGTCTCTGAGATCTAGGCGCTCAACAAGACGGACAGACGGACAGACAGACAGACAGACAGACGGACAGACAGACATGGCTATATCGACTCGGCTATTAATGCTGATCAAGAATATATATACTTTATGGGGTCGGAAACGTTTCCTTCTCTGCGTTAGACACATCCACTTTTACCACAAATCTAATATACCCCTTAACTCTTTTTTGAGTACGGGTATAAAAAAAACAAAATAGCACAAGAAGAAAATACCAGAAGACCGCCAAGAAGTCGCCAAGAAATGAAATGCAATCCAATAAACCAAAAAAATAAAATAAAAGCCTCCACTGGAACAAGCAAAAAGCAGTTTAATTTTCAGAGGTTTTCCTCCGCTCATCAGATCAGAGCAGAGCAGAGCGGGGAGTGTTCTGAATATATGTATTAAAGGTATTATAGG